TCATTAACGTCATACTGGCGTTAGGTTACACGGCAATCCTGGCCGCGGGTCCAAACCAACGCGAATCAACGCGATCACCCTCAACCTTAGTTCGCTTCTCCTTCTCTCTTCCCCTCCCGGATGCTGCACGTACCTTGAACCTGAACGATGGGCAAAAAGGTAATGATGACCCTCCATACATTGGTCTTGCAGAAAATGCAAGTAGTATGTAGTAGACTCTGTCTTAGTCTGACCGAACTTGCTCATCCCCATATCTCCTCTTCCTTCTTCTCCTCCCTAGATTAGTACTCGAATGGGAACATCTCCCTGTCTTCCCCCACCTCCTCTTCAGCCTCCCCTCCAATACAATAGAAGAAGAAGGAAAAACAGCCATGCACCTGACTGCGGGGGAAGAACTGAACTAACTGGGAGGCAAGGGATGGCGATCCAATCAATACCTCATCCTGCCATGGAGTCCATTCCTTCTGCAGGATCGTCTCCGTTGGAAATTGCGGAGAGAGCTTTCCCGCGTTCGGTTGCCAGCCAACCCTGTCTCTTCTGTCTCGTCTGCCCTGCCATTTTCTGCTATTGTTGTTATTGTAACTTCGCTCTCCCCCATCCCCCCTTGAACTTTCTTCACCACACACACACACTCTCTCTCTCACATACACACCGATATGCAGAATAGTCAACTCGGATTCCGCTCGGATTCCGCACATGGAATGTCCGATCGTAAATTACTCTTGAACCTCGCGAGTAAGATGCGACACTCCCAGGGAACGAGATCCGGGTCCAGTCCCCATTAATCATAGACCCCATTCTCCCGTAAGCGATGAGGCTTGAACCCCGGCCCACGGATCACTCTAGACTTGCGCTACAGGGACCAACATGATTAGCGGGACTCGGGGATATCCTCATCTGACTTGTCTGCATGTCCGATTGGGCTACAGCCACAGCGGAGTTCACTAACATCTTCTCCCCCCCCTCATACCCCACCACTAGCTGTGGCACTGATGCGTGGCTCTTCGTATCTCGGTTCCGAAGAGCAGAACATGTCGCCTTCCATTGTGTGCAAGTTGGACATGTTTCCTACTATGGTATATTACCCCAGAGGGATGGATCTATTGTCTGGCTGCTCCCGAACTGTCATAAGTGTCGTCTTTTCTTAACGGACTAGGAAGATGCCTCGATTAAGGTTGCGTCGTGTCAGGAGTCCGGCCCTGACAGCTCTTCCTTATCCAGGGTTATCGAAGAGCCTAGAGCAAGTCCAGCCCATTCCAGTTCGGTTTTGCTGACCAGGTGGACATATTGTCCGAAATGCCTTTCGCCGAAGAGTGCCGATCTAATCTTCTTCCATCACTCTGTACATCCTGCAGTGCTATGCTCGCGTGGGCTAGGGAGGCTGCCGTCATGAGATGTCTGGTTGACTGCGTGGCATCTCCCGTAAGACTGAGGCAGTTGAACCACCTTGCATATCCAACTTGTGCTGTTTAGTAGAAGAGTAAGAGAACTGGGGTACAGACAGTAAGCATCATGGCTGATTCATGTCCCTAGTATCAGGTGATTTGTATCTCATCACTTGGTCGCTCCCTTGCCTCCGGGAGACTGGAGATTACCTTCCAACACATTTTCCATGTATCGTTCTTTTCTGATGCTTTTGGAAGTTGATCTTTTCTTTTTCTTCATTCGGATTTTCTTATCTCACTTCCCACCGACGCTCTACTTCCACTTACGGCATGCATTCCGCACGTGATACTACAATTCTCGCATTCCCTTATATAGTTGTCTATTCTTGCCCTTTCTCTAAATGAGCGCAAGGTAGCTGCTAGCAGTGCTATTCTGCCATTCAGACCTCTTCTTGTAGAAGTTCCCTCACCAAGTATCATACATCCGCAACCTGACTGATTCCTACATGCAATACATTCATCCGTTTCAGAAAGTTTGTCTGTACCACACGACCAGTCAGCCCATCGATCTTCTACTAAGCCACCAACAAGCCTTCCCGAAATAATTGTAGCCTAGTATGCTTAGTCGGCATCATTCTTAGACGCGGACCTTGATACATCTTATATAAGTATCTATGACGCGTTTCGGACCGATCTCGGGATATAGCCCGAGTTTGAAAATCTCGGAGGAAAAGTATACGCACTGCTCAAGCATACATGATCTGCTATAGCCTAACGAGAAGGGCTGTGAGGAGTATATTGTAGACTATACTTGACCGGAGGATGAGATTGGCCATTCGTGGTGACAGTGCATCAAGAACATAACGGTCCAGGTGAGTAATGAGCTGCTACTAACTGAAATGGTACCTTTGATATATATATAGATTGGGGAGTCTGCATTTTTTTTTTTCTTCCCTACGAGTCCTATAAACATTTCTGGTATACCATCAATTCCAATACTTGACACCGGGACCATTTGCTGCCATTTCTATTTTAGATATACATGGTATCTATTAACTAGAGTCAATATTTCCCTGTATTACTAACTACTCAGTCCTCATACTATCCTACCATTCTACCAACAAAACCAACCATATACACCCTCAACAACCCTCCCCCCTAATCCCCACTAACATCCCCCCCTTCAACATAAACCCCATCTGATCCGAATCACCAAGTCCGAATAAACTACCCAAACAGAACCAAACAAGTTGAAGCTAAAATCCTGTCCCCATATCCCGATCTCCCCGAGCCGATAATCTCTACCGCTACTACGAGCAGTCCAGTTCCACTGTTAGTGTTACACTTAGTATGTAACTAGTGTATAGTCTGGTGGGTTGGTAGGTTAGTTAGTTAGGTTTGTCGCGCGCACGCACACAAACCTGTTGTGGGCTGGGCTACGCACAGATGCAGAGTGGATTTCGGTAGTTTGTACGGAGTGTGTGTGTGAATGTGATATCCTCGGCTCGGTTGAGGTCTTTCCCTTTCCCTGCAGTGGTGTCTCGGACTTCCAGGGTTAGGGGGGAAGGTGTTTGAGGTAGTGAGTGGGTCATTGGAATACATCAATATTGAGAATGATTAGGGCCTGCGTTTTCTGCACAAGCATTACGGATATTCTTGCTTGAGTGGTATACTGATAAAGGGGAGATTGAGCATTGTCTGGCAAAGCTTTCTATGGACCGTAACCCAGATGGTAGTATATCCGACGTCAGAATACAATACACATGAAATAGAAGTGATTAAAAATAGTAGGTGAAATAGGAGGGTGTTCAAGGGGCCGAATCCAACGTTCCCTTGCCGCCCGTCGAGGCAGTAGCGGCAGCACCCTTCTGCTGGCGCAGCTTTTCCTCGAATCTGGCGAACTCGTGCATCGATATCTCCTCTTCTTGGTCTAGCACTTGCTCGACTCCTTGGACTTCTTCGATCTGTAGGCAAAAGACACACAATCAGTCAAACTCTATTTTCAATATGCATGCAGGTAGTGTGATACTCACATAGTGCATGAGCATGGACTCAATACCGTTACGCAGCGTCACGGTACTCGAATCGCAGGTCCGGCAAGCACCGCGCAGCTTCAACAAGACAATACCGTTCTCAAAGCCGCGGAACTCAATGTCGCCACCGTCTTCCTGAATGGCAGGCCGGATCCTTGTGTCCAAAAGCTCCTTGATCATGCCAATCACCTCGTCTTCTTCTTCCTCGTAGGCCAAAGACTCCGACTCGCCACCTTCCTGGCCACTCTCACCAGTCTTGGCAACGGTGTTCACGATCGCCTCGCCCGAAGTCACGGCCTGAGTGATGAGACTGAAGATCTCGGGCTTGATGTGCGCCCAGTTGGAGTCGGTCGCCTTGGTTACGGTGATGAAGTCAGGCCCGTAAAATACAGAGGTGACACCGTCGACATTGAGCAGGCTTGCTGCCAAGGGAGAGGGGTGCGGAGGAGCGAGGGTAGAGCGGGGGGACAGGTATTCGAGGAAAGTGGTCGGGAAATTCTCGGGGAGGACACGGTGGTTAGGGATGAACTTCAATGCCTGTTGGGTTCCGCATACAAGGGTCAGATGCTTGTTCTTTCATTGGGATCTTCGTGCTGGTGTGCCACGGGAAGCCTTACATCAGGGTTCGGGGTGTTTTCTGTCTGAATGAATATCGTGCGCTTGCTGGACGGCGAAGGTCCATTTACGCGAGCCTGCACGAGCGAGTGCTGGTGAGGCTTCAAGGTCGGCCGGCGACGAGCCTCTGAGGCGGTGATAGCAGGCACTCGTGCCGAACGGTGGACATTCCTGTATGATCCGAACACCGCGGGTTTGGCGATCCGGGAGGAGCACTCCGCAGCGTTCAGTTGCTGCGTAGTCAATCTGACGCTGAAGAGAGTGCGCCTAATCATGTTTCCAGACGCTGAACTGACAGACATATTGACGCTGTGATGACAAGAGGGGAGAGTGGCAGGTATCAGACTCGTTCCTGTTCAGAAGAAAAGCGACTAGAAATGCCGATGGGAAACTCGAATCCCTCTGACGCAATGTGATGGCACGTGATCTTCCCGACAGAAGAATGCTGACAAATGAAGAGCGGAATCCACCAATCAACTGCCGGCAGTTTGACATCGCTGCCCCAGGAATTGTTCGGCATTCATTCTTCTGCTTGTTACTCGTACAGTGTAATGTAGACTATCGGACTGGTGGGCCTAGATGCCCGTAGTACTAGACACTATATATTATGGGTGTAACAAAAATGCCTCTCAGCCGAGTTCCGCTTCGGTTATACCTGCGTTGTGCAAAAGGCCACACATGCTTGGGCCTGCTACTTGGTGAACCTATCGCGGTTAACCCGGCCTTTCCTGAATATTCCTGGCTGGTGAGCGTCAAGGTCGAGTGTGGTGTAGAGACAGACATGTGGTGACATGGCGCTCGCGGCCCAATACCTTGTCCTGCATCAAGACCAACAATGAGCTGCTGCTGCTCGCATCGACTCGCTGCTTTGTGCCTAGTCATGAAATAACCAACATGTTGGTTGGTGATCCTAGGTTATATCTATGTTGGTAGATGGCTGGCAGCTGTTCATTATGTACTCGGTGTACTTCCCGTGCTTCCAAGCGCGAGTCCGACGTGCTTAAATGCGACCTGCCACCTTGGCACCGAAATCGCGTTGAACAGGCCAAGCTCATCATGAGACCTTTCCCACGGATGACAAAGACCGACGTAGACGAGCGGAGCGGTATTGGGGCCAAACCATGTCCTTCAACAATGGAGCTATTCCCAGACCTAGCGAGTCAAGGAGCACAAACACCCCCTGACACCACCTGTATTTTTGCGCTACTTCGTGGACCTGAAAGAATTGCGCAGATTGGCTGAGAGGGGCAAGCAAGTGTTGCGCGCCCAGCGTTTTCATATCAGACTGTGTACAGTACATAACGGATCGACAAATCTCGTCTGCATAGTGCTCCGCCAGCGCTGTGAAATCTGTTGCCACATCCAAGTCCAAGGAACGCTGTTCACTCGTTGGGGGATGCGTGGCACAGGACTGCGAGGGTGTAACGTCATTTCTGCGATAGCCAAGGACGTCGAGAAGCTCATCAACTAGCGGGTACAGAATAATCAATGTGGCCCAATAGATGAGGTGCGATTCAGCGCAGGCCAGGGAGGCGAATTGGAAGGGATCGGGGAATAAAGAGGTGGCAAGGTGTGCTCTCATGTCTTCCCGTAAGGGAACGTCATGAAGGCCAGTCGACGGCGTCCCAAGTTTCTCCTGCATCCTGAGACATGTCTGGTGTAGTCTTCCTTCTAGCGATAGGCAAGAACCCAGTAACTTCTCGCCGTCGTTCTTATCACCATTAGGGCTGGCAGGGAGTTGCTCGATGAAAATGTCTACGTGTTCTATGAGAGCAGAGCACTCAGCCAGAAGGTCCGTCAGTTCATCGATTGGCTCAAGTTCCGTTGAGCCTTGGGATAAGCGTTGTTGCGTAGTCAGAACTTCATAGAGGGTGGCGGCCTTGCGTCTCCCTACCGCATCACATAACTGGGCGATTCGATGTCAGCAACACTCAGCTGTTACGAGGATCAGCTGGATGATTAATCCGAAACCAAGGAGACTGACAGTAACAAATTTAAGTTGACGGTGGAACAACTTCTCAGCAATAGTTTCTTTTTTGCGGACGCTGCACTGGTTAATGATCGCGTTACTGCCTTGCACATGTGCTATCCAGGCCATGAATCCCGGGGGTGACGAGTGGATTAACTTTGTGAAATGTTAGGCCAGCCGCGAAGAAAAGGCATAAGGTGATGAGGACAGGAACACCGACTTCATATAATTGGAAAATGACTGTTGTATATAGGACATCTTGGCCCAGGCCTCTGCCGGATTTGATCTTGCCATGCATGATCTCCATCGAATTGTTATAGAGCTTCGTACTATACCCGAGTAACCGATCGTCCTTGTGTTGTTTCGCAAGAAAAGCAGAAGAAAGCGATAGAAGCGCTCTGTCCAGCAGAGGGCTATTCCCACATAGTTCAGGGAGCGTTTTGAGGATGTTTGACTCTTTACCATCTTGCAAATGCCGTGACGAAGGAAGAAAGCCCCCCACAAAGGAGGCGAGCAACTGTGATCGGACCTCCGCATTGATATTCAAACGGGGAAGGCCTGGCTCCACTCGTGTTAATTGACGGTCGGGAATCTTCCCGGAGGTCGACTTCGGGCGACGGGCGAGCTTCAGTTCTCCATCATCAATGATCTCGGATGATTTGTGGATAAAGACCCTTTTCCGTTCATAGCCGTTACAAATATGGCCATTCTTGACGCATCGATTGCATTCCGGCTTTGCCTCGTCACACTACACACAGAGTCATAGTTTAGATGACCGTTCCTGTTCTGTCTCCGAGGGCAATCAAGCCTGTTCGGGCCTTGCATGATTGGCTTACCTTGACCTTTCGTCGCCGGCACGTATTGCATCCGGTTGATCGAAAAGGAATGCCTCCCATAGCCGATTATTTCGTCTCACAAGCCGTCTGCCACGATTGATAAGATTTAGGGCGGGCAGACTGCAGACGGAGAACCGCTCGCTGTAGGAAGATGACTATGATCATTCGGGCTTTCGTAGCATTGTCAAGACCGCATCAGTAATCCCGTACGACGAATAATTGACGAGGAAATCTAGCGAGGCACTTATAGGTATTCCAGGTACTAGTAGATACGTATCTGAGAAGAGGATGGGGATCGATTGTCGTCATGGACCGCGCCACTTCACGTGAGCCCCCATTATTGGGCTGAGTTTGTTTCTTTTTTCGGTCCGCTAGACGATCGTCCCTGACGGTTCCTTATCGGCTGTCATTCTTTTATCATCACTTTTCCTTTGCAGAAACCTTCAATTCTGTAGGACTTGAGGTACCCCATCCTTGGTCCACACGCCATCACGCTCGCTTCATACGACCCTTGCGACCGGCCGAAGCAAGACAATGTCCTACAGAGCTTGATTGTCGCGCAGTTGGCACAAGGTTTGGATGGGACGCTGGCGATAAAATGCCCGGCACTTGTGAGGTTTGCGTCTCGGAGCCTTCGAAGTACCGATGCCCAACATGTGGGCTCATGAGGTATGTTTGTGCTTCAATCCATTTCTCTGAGAAGGAAAGAACATACCCGTGCTAATTGTCGTTGTTCTAGTTGCTCCTTGGCATGCACTCAGTCCCATAAAATCTACTGCGCACCTAAAGCACCATCACCAAAACCGACCAGTCCAACCGTCGACGCTCAACAGCCTCCCAGCGAATTGAACGAGCATGCGACTAGCGAGGTAGCACCCAAGGCTCAGAACGGCCTCGATATTAAATCCCTGGGGAGCTCGGCCGAACTCAAAGATTTACTCGATCGGTTCCCTTCGCTTCGTGAGGAGCTGTACGATATCTACAAGACTACTCTGGAGGAAGCATGGGTGGAGACTCAGCGCTTTGGAGGTCGGGGTCGACACCATGGGAGAGGCAAAGGACCACACCGTCATAACGGACCGTGGACCCGTGAGAAGGGCTTCAACCGAGGAGTGGGAAGGGTGAGGAAGCTACGGGAAAGATGCGAGGAGGGTCTGGAGACTGGGAAGAAAGCGGAGGGGTTCGTGCGCTTCACGTCCCTGGTCACTGGTAATGAGCTTCCCCACGAGGGCATGTAAGGGACCCCATAATAGTTGCGACTTCGCAGGACCCAACGCTGCCGGCATTCATGCCTGGGTACTTCCCGGTTGCGCACTCTACGATGAAATCTGCCGAGGATGTGTGTATTTGCATGCTAGTGCGGTCCGGGAGTCATGAGGATGAGGAAGGTTGATAAGGCCTCAGTGATAACTGAAAGACGGATGTTCAAGTACATTCCGAGGATGCATATGAAAATATATAGTAGTCCGTTAACTCGCTCAACCACAACTATCACCGACCGCGGTTGATCCATCATTCGGAAGACATGATACTACCAGGCACAAATGAAATTTACCCAATACAGAGTAGTAACTATTAGCTGTCTGCTGTCGGCATTTTTCGAGCCTGGACAGAGAGGTGTGGCAGGCCAAACAGCGTTCACTTTCCCAATATGCGGTCTAGCTGAAAGCTCGGTACTTTTGCATGGCTTCACAGCATACACCGCCATCAAGTTTCAACAGTATCACCGAGTCTCCGACGTGTCTTCAGGTTCCCGCAAGTGTGCATGCCACCCATCTGCACAACGCCATGTAAGCATGAGGTGCATGAACCGGATTTTCCTGCGAGAAGCCAAAGAGTCTAAGATGTACCTAAGCCAGACTGTGTTATGCCATCTGACCTGTGTACCTTTGAAGGGGTTAACAATGCAACAAAGTAGACTTGAGAGATCAAAACCATCCAAGTTGATGCTGACATCGACATATCATAATTTAAATAGTGCGATGTTGAATGTGACGGAGTTGGCCACTTTAAGGCCTAAGGCACCGAAACATCTATCTCAACAGTTACTGAAAGTCTCCAACGGAAGACAGAGATGTCATCGTGCAGCATGTAGCATAAGACTTTTAGTGTATACTCCACCAACTACCCCATCTAGTATCCAGACAGGCCTACTGGCAATGATGCCCGGCAAGAGATCATCTGTAAGTAACTCTTATGCTAACATGTGACTAAAGTCAAAACCAACTCAGGGGCCAAAGAACGAACGAGGACGGCGCCATCGTGGACCAAGCATTGAAACCAGTAGCAGTCGCTATGTGCATCGAAACCTGGTCAAGCCATGTTTCAGAGTTTGACTTACAGCATGGCAAGATTGGGGGGTCCGTTGTCCATGGCGGAAGCATGAGAATGGTTTGGGTTAAATCATCCACCTGCATCCCCAGCCGAACTGAAGCGAGCGACCTCAACGTCGCAGATCTTCATGAGAGCCTTTCAACCTAGGCAATGCATGCTATCTGTCTACTCCGTACTATCTCTCCACGCCCCATGAGGGGGGGAAATGGCGGGGAAATGTGACCCGTTCGAAAGGATTCCTCCAAATGCCGCCAATCGTCCATCACCGTGCCTCATCACATCTCATGTCTACCAACGAGATGCCCGAACAACGGGGATTTGAGCAATTGGCCTTAACCTTAGGATTTGCCTTGTTGTGATTCGTAAAGGCTTTCAGACTACTTGAGCTAGTTACCGATCTCCCCGTCTTGGAACACTGGCTAAGTTTTGACGAACTGCGATGTTATTCGTCCCGAGCACCTCCGCCCGCTCATGTCAATGGGAAATTCCGGGGAGGAGAGAGACATGGACCGTTTGCCTGTGATGTTACTGTATGCTTGGAGACACTCTGGGAAACAATCAACTGGGTGAATTGAATTGAACGCGTTGCGATTTGTTGAATGCAAAGTAACTTGCCGCGCTGCTTAGTTGAGTTAGCTTTGGGACGGCCGACTCCCTTGCTGACAAGTAGAAGCGGATTGGGGTTCTGGATCGTTGGCCGGAGAGTTTGGGGAGGAAGAGGAGGAAGGGAAAGCGTGAGGAGAGAAAGGCGGCGGCGGGACACACAAGGTCCATCCGGTGGTGAACACGACCGATTTTAGTAAGATCACAATCCTCCCCCCAGTTGGCCTGGGATGTCCTGCCATTGTGTTGCTCCGCTAGGGATTCTGCCGGATTGACCCATAGAAGTGCCCCGGTGTTTCTAATAATAAGAATTTCAAAACACAAAAAGCATAACCATAATAATTGTAATAATAATCATCCTGCCGTTGGAGAGAGAGAGAGAGAGGGTTAAAACCAAACCAGACTTACTTTCCAAAATCTCCCCGCCCGCAGCCTCCACCCCAAAACTGCCCCAACTTCTGACTGACTCTTTGGGGGCTCAATTTTTCGGTCGAGTGACATCTTCCCGCCTGCAACTGGCGGCACTCCCTCAAGCTGCTCTCTCCTTGACACCCCCTCTGTTTCTTCGCTGCCACTCATAGCTCTTACTGCCCCCTGGTCGATTTGCCAACCCGGACGAGTTCTCGTAAGACTTGTGCGACCCTCTTGCCGGTACCATTGTTGTTTCTGTTGCTAACTTGGGTTCTACCTGTGTCCAGCTCCGGTAACCTGCCTCAGCCGACGAGATCCACGATAGTCGAGAAAAAGCAGGAAAAGGAAAGACGGAGAAAAAGAAAAGAAAGAAGAAAAACGAGGCAGACGACCATAAAAAATAACCACTCAGCTAATCATCATCGAAATTTGACCACCACAAACAATCGAAGATAAAAGGGGAACATTAACCCCCCCCCCGGAGCTGATTCGAGCAGCCTCTTGGAAATCTTTCGATTGCGGCGAACCTCACGAAGCCTGGACCTTTTCTACGTTTTCCACCCAAGCGACAATGGATGAGCTGTCGTGTCCGCCTCACTCACTTACGTAGCTGTTGGACCCTGCGCTGTCGCACCTTGTTTGTTCGACCGGACCTTACTCGCGCCACAGCACCGCCCATCCGTTCGCGCAGAAGAAAAAAAAAAAAAAAAGAAAGTAAAGCCACATCGTCACCATGGCCTCCCAACCCTTGCGAAGAGAACGAGCATCTAGCGATAAAGCCGATGCTGCGCCATTCCCACAACGACCGGGCCTTCCCAGTCGAACGATTTCTGCTCCCGTCGGAGGATTATACCGACTTGATTCGGCTAGAACGGCAATGGAATCGGGGAATAAGGTCGACCGGACACTTCTGGAGGAGGATGAGAACCCGCCATCGGCCGGAGGGGATAGGGTGTCATCATCAACCCGTGAGGAGGTATGGCTAATCCAAACTCATGTCATTGGACCCTTGGCGAGCGCATTGTTTTTCTGACCCCCGTGCGTGTACCGCAGACAACGCCGAAGCCGAGTTTTCCCCATGTGAGCATCGCGGTGGTCGGTCCTGACCATGTCGGAAAATCGACATTCATTGAAACCGCCTTGGACATGAAGCATCCGCTTACTTCCCGATCGACTACAAAGAAGATGTCCCTGGACGGGACGGTGTACTTGGTTCGCCTGATGGAGATAGATACATTGGAGATTACGATTGGGAGCAATGGCGAGGTCAACTGGCCCTTACTGGGTAGCGACTCGCCTCCTACAGTGGATGGGGTGCTGGTTCTACTGGATATGACTCAACCGGCCAGTTTCCCTGAATTTACCGAACTACTAGGTTGGTCGCATTGCCGGTTCTGCAGCGGCCGGGGTCGCTGCGCAATTCAACTCTAGGATGTGGGCTGATGGACTGCAGACTCCTTAACCGCTTCTGACATACCCTTTACGCTGGTGGCCAGCAAATGCGACATACAACCCCCTGACAGCCCTGTGGAGCCAATATTGGGTGGCTATGAAATCCACCGGACCTCACCTGACTCACCACGGTCGCAGAAGATGTGCATTGCCTTAGTTCTGCGCTCTGTGATCAACCGTAAATATGGTAAGTGGACAAGCTGACCTATGCGATTGCCATGTGGATACGCGAGAGGCGAGGAAAGCCAAAGAACAGGGCGGAACGGTCCACTGTCTCGGTGGCCATCTGTCTGCTCGCATCACCCAACGCATTGCGTCGCCCCCCGGCTATAGCCCATCCCTTAGAGTGATGGCCCACTGGGTTTCGCGCTAGTTTGCGGCGCGGCGTGCGTTTAGCGTTCGCGTATCTCGTGGTGCAGTGGTTTTCAGGACCCGCCGATCCCTCGGGTCCAGCTCGGGTCCAGCGCAAGAGCAGCTGGACCGCAGCTGGACCACCCAATTCCTGTGGCCGTTATTTTCCCGCTGGTCTGGTTCACACGTGGATGCTAACGGCTCCTCTTTTAGACTTCATCGATTTCCCCTCCAACTCATCCGCCACCCCAGACTGGCATCACAGCCGCACCAACTCAGAGACCCCCACCGCTGTATTATCCGGAGCCGCAGGCGGCCCAATCACAGGACCTCTTGAACCAGCTGTCGATGGGTACGGTGTAGACCGGCAACCCACCGACCCGGCCACCTCTGCCAACCTGGCTTCCAATGGCCAGGCCTTTCGTTACGCCCGGAGCAACTCGCATCCGGTGCGACCGCATACGCCTCCTTCGGGGTCCCGGTTGGCCTCGCGCAAACAGTCTGTATCCGGGGAGTCGTCACCAAGTAAGGATCTCAACCGACAACATCGACTTCATACGGCCTGGCGCAACAGCGGCGGGTCAGATGCGTTCAGCAATTTTCTAGAGATGGGGGAGGACTACGATGGGCCCCGGAGTGCTCCGTCGAGCCCGGGAAGCAAGGACCAGACGCCTAGCGAGAGCTCATCGAATGATGCAGGCTTCACCTTTGACGAGCTAGTAGATCGTCTGGTCGCACAACCGATGTCAAAGCAAGATTCGAAGTTCGCGTCTATCTTTTTGTGTCTCTATCGCAAATTCGCCGCGCCGTGCACCTTGCTGAATGCTCTGATTAACCGATTCGAACGGAATGAGAACGACATGACCGACCAGCTCGACCGCATCGCAGTTCAGCTGAGGCTGCTGGGAGTGATGGCGCAGTGGGTTTCTGAATATCCGGGCGACTTGGCGTACCCGAAGACTCGCAAGCGAATCACCGATTTCGTCACGACGCTGGAGAAGAGCCACTTTTACATGTTTGCCGCCAAGGAGATCGGATCGTATCTGGAGGGGAATGCAGATGACGATAATATCGGATGGCCGTATAGGGATGGCGACATGGAAGAACCTGACACTGCCGACCCCCCGTTCCAGTTTTCCGGGCGCAGCTCACCATCAATTTTCCTTGGGGCGCCGCCGCTTGGCGATGAAGGCGAGGAAGAGGAAGAGGACCCTATTTACAACATGAGCGCTTTGGACCTTAGCGAAGGTGCAGCCGAGCCTGCGTCGAGACTGTCGGGGTCGATGTCGAATTCATTTACCTCCGAAAAGCCCGGGACCATCGCCAGCCAGTCGTTCACATTCCTGAGTACCGAAGCTGCGCAACGGGAGGCGCATAATCTGGATCTCACGCCACGCATCCCGCTAACGAAAATTCAATGGCGCCAGCTGATGGAGATCCCGGATGAGGATTTCGCACGGGAGCTGACGCGCATGGACTGGATCATGTTCAATTCTTTCCGACCGCGAGACCTTGTGCGACATGTCAGCATCTCCGGCGTGGAGAAGGATAAGATTTTGAGCTTGAAGCACGTCAACCGGATGATCAAGCAATTCAACCATGTCGCATTCTTCGTAGCTAGCGTGATCCTACTTCGGGACAAGCCGAAGCATCGGGCCAAGGCGCTTGAGAAATTCATGAACATAGCATTGGTAAGTCTGATTCATGAGAACCAAGCCGAGATATTTTCTGACAGCCGCAGAAACTCCGCCGACTTAACAACTACAATTCTCTCGGGGCCGTGATCGCCGGCATCAACGGAACCCCGGTGCACCGACTGTCCCAGACACGGGACCTGGTCCCGGTGCAGACACAAAAAGACTTCATGAGGCTGGTCATCCTCATGGGGACACAGAAGAGTCATTTTGCATATCGTCTCGCATGGGACAATTCCTTTGCGGAGCGCATCCCGTTCCTGCCGTTGCACCGACGCGATCTGGTGTCAGCGGAGGAGGGCAACAAGACGTTTGTGGGCGACAACAAGAACCGCATCAACTGGCGCAAGTTCGAGGTAATGGGAGAGGTGGTTCTGGGAATCCAGCGCAGCCAGAAGACACCGTATCCGCATATGTCCAAGTACGAGGAGGTAGAACGGTTGATATTAGAGATTAAGCTGTCGGGGGATGACGAGGTACGCTATCTTCCTCTTTCCACCATAACCATACCATTTCTATGATGCTGACAATCATCAGGACTTGTATTCGCGCAGTATGCAAGTCGAACCCTCGGCAGGCGGCGACACCGGACGCAAGAAGTTCGGCTGGTTACGGTCGTGAGAGACGAGAGAGAGGGAGAGTTATGACTAGTTGCAGCAGAGTCTGCAACAGCAACAGCAACCACCAAGCTGACGAGTACAATGAATGATGATCGTCATTTGATTGATGATGATGTACATAATGTAGTTTTCTACTACACACAAACCCCATCCATATCTTTGCTACAAACTTAGAGAGAAAGAAATGTGAAATCACGTGATATACACCGCATCCTCCGTAAACTTATCCGTAGCCATCCATCCACACCCACCATCAAATCCACCACCAAACCTATACCACCCAACTAAACCAAACACCTCCTCCATCCCAAAGGGAAAAAAGAATCAAAATGTCCACAGCCGCGAAAACAACCACAACCTACCGCGCCCTCCTCCGCGAACTCCCCCGCCGGACCCTCTCCACTCCCACTCCTCTCCAACACCGCCTCCGCGACATGTACATCAGCAACAACAACAACAGCCAACAGGGTGTTGTGGACGCAGACGCACAAGAATCCCTCCGCCAACATCGTCTCGACCAGGCAAACCAGTTCGCTATCTACGCTAAAGCCCAGCGCGTGTATGCCGAGCTCGTCGAGAGATATAACCCCGGTACTACCCTCGATGAGGAGGAGAGGATTCGGTTGACGGCTAGACGGGTCGGGTGGGATTTGCCTGTTGAGGCGGGGAAGGAGAAGGATGAATGAACTGATTTTTTGGGGGTGTTTGGGGGAATAGAGATGAGGCTTGGGGTGGGGATTTGTGGATAGGTGGATGGATGGAGGGTAGAGGATGGGATAAAATAAGTCATGGGTGGAGTTTTGGGTGTATATTTATCTCTGAATTTGTGGTTCATTTGTGGCTTTTGTGCTTGGAATTGGGGGGGTTTGTATGATATTTTGTATGTATGATATGTTTGGGAGGAGGGTTGTATTATAGATAACTGTGATGATTGATTTAAGTGTTCTTTTTGGAGGGGTTGTTGAGAGGGTTGAGGAGGTTCTGTGTTGTAGAGTTCATATTGAATTTATTACTATGAACGTGTTTTCTCTGATTGAATGGGCTGGTGTATAGATATGGCTGGCATGTACTGGTAGGTAGGCTAGTATAGTCCCATGGGACGGATGTATTATGTTAGTAGTAGTGAGATGATGATGAAGTGCGTTTCAGTGATTGGTACTGGTAGTAATCCTCTTTCAGGTTGTTCTTTTTATTTACAATTATAGTAAAGAACTTTAGTAACCAGTCTGGTGGCTGAAGCTGAACTTTGCTTCTACAATAATATAACTCTGTATCATGGGTATATGTATAACGGGCATAACTATATATCTTCAAACACCCCCCAGCTCAACCTTCTCCATCTGCCTGCGCAACGTCGAGCTGCCCTCCTCATCTTCCAAACCAACTTCCATCTCAATCGCCGTCTTGGGCCGATTCTTATTCAATCCCTCCAGCAGAGTACAAGCCTTGCACACGCGCTGACTGGAGATATACCCGCAGCGCTCACACGTCCCCAGTACCTGCGACTTGACCTTCTTCTGTGCCGGCGTCTGCACCTGCTCTGACTGCTGCTGCTTCTTAGGCACGCTATCAGAAGTAATCTCCATCTCCCTATCCTTGGCAGCCTCATCCTCCTTCAACTTCCTTTCCATCTCCGCCATCTCCCCACCTCTCGTCCTCCCATTCTGACTTCCACACCCACCACCACCGCCACCCTCTTCATCCTCACCTCCCTTCCCCCTAACCTCAGCAGGCACCAAAAGCGCCATATCCTCCCCAGACTTAACGATATCCAAAATCGAAGACGGCCTAATCTTCTCCAAATCCTTGATCAACGTCCTCGCACTGCCCCGAAACGCCTCCGGCGAGTAAATACACTCCGTGGAGAAATAATCCAACTGGCGATGATGCGCATACAGCACAATCTCCTTCTCGTAAGCATACTTCAACGGCTTACTCCTCTTGATATCACTAGCCGCGGACCCCGTCACAATACTCGTACCCCTCGACAAGCGCGGTAAATCTCCTCTCAGCAGATTCATCATCACCGTCTCCGCCACATCATCCGCATTATGACCTGTCACCACATGCTTAATGCCCAGCTTCGCGGCCCCGCGATCCAGCGCCTGCCGCCGAAATACCCCGCAGTATGTGCAATTTCCCTTTTTGCCGACCTGCGCTACGACCTGGTCCATGGTCCAGCCGTATAGGTCGCCGTAGCTGACGATTACGAGTGGCATGTTGTATTGTTGGGCGTTGCGTTTCACGGTCTCGAGACTGTCGTCGCGGTAACCCTTGATGCCTTCATCGATGGAGAGGAGGCATAGGTCGAGGCCGTAGTTGTAGCGTTCGTTGAGGGTCTTGAGGACGGCGGCCAGGACGGTGCTGTCTTTGCCGCCGCTGGCGCCGATGGCGACTCGTTCGCCAGGGTAGAAGAGGGAGGTCGAGGTGATGGTTTCGTGGACTTCGGTTTCGAAGACGTGTAGGAAGCACGTGCGGCACAGCTTTTGCCGGTTCTTAGGGCGGATGATTACTGCCCGTTGGTCGTGGCAGCGGGCGCAAGGGGAGGGGGGCATGGTGGTGGTTTGTGGGTGTGGTTCTGGGTTGAGGGTAAGGGTATAGTGGGTGATGGTGGAGGCGATGAGGGGAGCAATTTTTGATAAACTGATTTCGCGGGCCTGGATGTTGGCTTATCGATAAGGGATTGGATGAGTCAGGGTGTGGGTGTGTTTGCAGTGTTTGTGTGGTTAGTTCCCCGGGAAGGGTGAAAAATAAACAGGCACAACGGAGAAGAGAAAGAGGTAAGGGGGTGAAAGGATGAATTGTGGTAGCGTTATTAAATGGTAGTGTATTCTATCGGACAACGTCGTCGTCTATCTAATGTAGTGAGAATAGTAATAGTATTATACATATACCCATCATCTCGCCATCTATCGTTTACATCTTGCCCTTGAGCAGGTTGGAGATCATCTCGCGACCAGTGATTCTCGAGGTCGCCCACAGGGTCGGGAAGTCGAGAGTGCTGGAGAAGGTATCGGCGTATCCGAAGAAGAGCATCGGGGGGATCCAGCCACGGGCGTACTCCAGAGCAAAGCAGGACTCATCCATCTTGTACTGCTTGACCTCACCGCGGCGGAGGTGGTGCACGCTACCCTGGGGGTAAACCTCGGGCTCGTAGGATCCAGGAACGTAGGCGAGCTGGGTGCCCTGAAGGATGTTGAAGTAGTCATCGGCCGTGTGACGGCCAGTGTGGCCCTCAGTACCAATAGCGGTGCCTAATGCATGAGGAGAGAGTATTAGCACGTGTAATCAAGGGCATAAAAATAACCGGAAGACAGGGGAAGCCATACCGAAAATGATCAAGTACTCCGTGATACCTAGAGGGAAAATAAAGCTTAGCACAGACACTATGGATAAATATAGAGGTGGTATGGAGCAAAAGAGGGGACGCACTAGCATGAATAATATACATTGCCCCCATCGCACCACCGGCGTTGTTGAACACCCATTCCTCGTCCAGGTTCAGGTGCGTGTCGGTGACCTTCTCGCCCAGCTCGGAGACGATGAAGTTCACGACCGAGCGAGTGTCATTACCGTGGGCCGCAATGGCGCGCTGCGACAGGTCGTGCAAGTGGGAAGGATCGAAGATGTAGAACTGCTCCAGCCGCGCGTTCAGGTAGCTGTAGAGACCGGTAAAAAGGGCCAGGAGGGCCACGGCGAAGCTAGCGCAGCGCATGATGACGAGCTGTTCCGGAAAGCAATTGGCCGGAAAAACAGAAGCTGCAGAGAGCTAATGGGTGGTGGGGAAGGGGGGAGGGCGTGGGAAGGAGAAAGAGAGGAGAGGGTGTGGAAAGGATGGGGTGATTATTCTTTATTGTTCTGATTGATGGATTGAGGATATTCAATTCCAGGGTTGCCTGATCCGGGAAGGCTACCAGGATGGTCCGGCTGAGTCAGCAGCAGACAGCAGCTTTTGGCCGTGTTTGCCTGGCTGTCAAACACGCCAAAACTATCATTCTGATCATCCCGTGATTATTCATTTCCCCGAGTCAACTCACTAACTAGTCTGTACTACGGAGTAACTAACTAACTCTACCTCGATAATATCCAACGTCAAATTAATCCGTCCACAAAAATAGCTTGTTCTGACAGCACCATGTGTCTCGACGGAGCCCGATTGGGGATTAGTCCGATCGATTAATAAAGCTGTCCACCTTTTGGAACCCTGCGGACGAGCCACGCCCCCCTCGGGCGTCCTAGACATTCATTTAAACGGCATCCTGTTATCTAATCCGAAACGGACCATCTCCGTGGCTGCCCCCTCTCATCCGGGACATTATACCGTCTCGAGATGACGAATCCACTGAGATTCCCCTGATCTAAACTTCCTCTGGATATTTCCACCGTGTCCGTGAGTTTGGTTGACCTCCATCCTGCACGGGGCATTCCGTGGGACCGTTTCGAAACCAGGAACAAGCACCACACTCATCCTATCGGCCTTCTCCCTCCTGGTCCACTCGGGGTCAGGATCCATTCGGCGACGGAGTTTCCAAGAACCTCCGTTGACTCTGAGTGCACATGTCTCAACGGCCATGAGGACCAAGCTCAGCAGGTCCATAGGCTAAATCGCCCCGGCTGTTTCTGCTTGATGAGGGCTATGCCTAATTTTATCCTGTTCCAGAAGACCTAGACGGCACACCCATGGCTATAAGAAGGCAGCCCGGTCGGAGGAAGATGGATTTCTCTTCAGCAGCTCATACACTATAATTCTCTGGGTCAGTGGACGTTGATCGCACATTGCACCAATATCAATACTTTACCCGACCATTCGTCTTTCCTTTGACCAATAATCACCATCACCATGAAGGTTCTCGCTCTTTCCGCTCTTCTTTCTTTGGCTTCGGCCGCCTCTATCAGCCGCCGCAGCGACTTCTGCGACCAATGGGGTACCGCCACCGCCGGTGACTTCATCCTGTACAACGACCTCTGGGGTGAAGACAACGCCTCCAGCGGCTCCCAGTGCACTGGCGTCGACTCGGCCAGCGGCAGCGAGATCGCCTGGCACACCAGCTGGTCCTGGGAGGGTGGCAGCAGTGACGTCAAGAGCTACGCCAACGCTGCTCTGCAGTTCACTGGTACTCAGCTGAGCTCCATCTCTAGCATCCCCTCCACCTGGAAGTGGACGTATGTTGCAGCCTAAACCTTCCGACCGACCATCAGGACGCATGCTGACTCTTTGGGAATAGTTACTCTGGCTCCGATATCGTGGCCGACGTGGCCTACGACATGTTCCTGGGCTCGACCGCCGACGCCTCTTCCGATGAGTACGAGATCATGGTCTGGCTTGCTGCTCTCGGCGGTGCTGGCCCCATCTCGTCGACCGGCTCCACCATTGCCACCCCGACGATCAACGGCGTGACCTGGGACCTGTACACCGGCCCCAACGGCGACACCACCGTCTACAGCTTCGTCGCCCAGTCGACCACCGAGGACTTCTCCGGTGACCTGAACGACTTCTTCACCTACCTGGTGGACAACGAGGGTGTCTCTGACAGCCTGTACCTGACCACCCTTGAGGCGGGTACCGAGCCCTTCACCGGCAGCAACGCCGAGCTGAAGGTGTCCGAGTACTCCGTTTCCATCGAGTAAATAAAATCACAAACACCGAGTGTGGCAGGATACATACTAATGATTTCAAAAAGGGATTGTTAGGAGCGGAGGATGAGAATGTAGGCGCCGTGTTTCAGCTCCCTAGGCAGGATACCGGAGGGACATAGTTATAGGACGAGGGGGGGTTGTTTTCCTGAAGAAGGGGGGGAGGGGGGGGTTTACTTGGGGTGGCAAGCAGGAGTCGATGGTTTGATGACGCGCCGGGGCGACGAGGCGACGGTCGAATCATCATATGTACATAGGCCTGGAACCCCGTTGGGTTGATAATCATGGAGGAATTCCATCAAGATTGCTAAATATAACCATCGTCACCCACATTGAGACCTAACCGCGGAGGTGGAGAAGAGAGGGATGTCAAGCAGAGCCAATGCAAGACAGGCAGGCGTAGCCAGTGTAGCAGCTAGCCAGGTGAAGTAACAAGAATAGAAGCATCAGCATGAGGGGCAAGCACAATCACATCCAGCTATTTTAGCTAGCCTACCAACTTATGCACGATCATCAATTGCGGCGCTTGCATCCGGGCGCTTAAGTGCAGCAGCCCTAAAGTGCTGACAGGGAGGAAAAGAGAGGGGTAGCATCAATCAATCAATCAGACTGGAATGGGGGGAAAAATAACTAACACATGTTGTAGAAATTCTCCTTGAGTATAATTAGAAATAACATCAGGCTGGCCAAGTATCTCTCACGCGTTCCAGGATCGTGATGGGAGACTTCGTGCTGGCGACGCGCTCAGCTGGGCCTCTCACTCTTTTTTTTTTTTTCCCGCCACGCTCCTTGATTCATTCCTGCATCTCGTGTCTTGGGCATTCTTTTGGCGCGCGCCCCCAAACCCACCCCAGGACACACAGACACAGACAACTTACACATAATTCCAGTTCCATTTTTGTGCCCTTCTTCCCTTCCAATCCTGTCATCCAATCATCCCATCATCCCGTTATGCTTGGCTACTGGTGGTCTCGGGCTGTCGCGCGCGCCAAACCCACATCCAGCGATCATCCATCGATCGGCCCCTGCAGGACTGGTGGTTAGTTCGTTCTTGTCTAGGGTGCTTGTCAGGTCCCAACCTGGATGGGGTTGAATGGATGGATTTGAATGCATGTAATGCAATGCGCGTCGGGTGCCCTCCTGTCCTTGCAGCTCCTGTCCAGCCTTCGCTGTTGGTGTTATATCAGGCTTGGAAGATCCGTCGTTTCGTCGCTGTTTTTTTCTGGTCGGTCATTCATTCTTCACGAGGGAAGTTATTTAACTATACCAACACAAACATCATAATCAACAACCACTTACTCCGCCATCATAGCATCGTGTGGTTATTTTTATTTCCCCACCACCACCACCACCCCTTCTACTTATTATACTATATACTATTTTTATTTATTATCATCATTAACTCGTTGACAAGTCTTGTCTCTGCTCTATTTAATATTGGAACGATCTTCCCTCCCCTCAAGTGGCAATTAACCGATCTTATCACTTGTCTCAAGTGACTGTCTCACTACTATCTTAAGCCCATTCATCACGGAGGTTGACACGACAACACATTCCTTACCCTTTCCTGCTGGCAGGATTCACATTCTTCACTCGTCTATTCAAGCCCTCTCTATATCCTGCGTCTTGCTCGCTTTCTTTTTTGTTTGCTGGCTATCGCTCTCTCGTCTCTCCTCTTTTTCTTCCCCTGCATCCTGCAAAGTACCATGGCTGTCCATCCCTACTCTCCTTACACCAACTTTGCATCCCCCACCACCACCACCACCACCACCACCGGCATCATGGATTTCGATCGGGCGGCGCTGCATGAGTTCATCATGCAGCCCGTCTCGCGAGACATGATCTCTCATCTGGCTCAACAAGCGATGCAGGTCATCCGCTGCGAACCGCATGTGACAGCGCATCACGCGCATGGCCAGCCTACTCCCCCCAGCACGCCGCCCTTGGATGCAGACCTGCCTCCTCTACCATCTGTCACCACCTTTATTACCTCGCTAGTACTCCGCTCGCAGGTGCAGGTGCCGACGCTGATGACCTCGCTGGTCTACCTGGCCCGGTTGCGGGCTCGCCTGCCCCCCGTCGCCAAGGGCATGCGCTGCACAGTGCATCGCATTTTCCTGGCTTCCCTGATTCTGGCAGCCAAGAACCTCAACGACTCCAGTCCTAAGAACAAGCACTGGGCCCGGTACACCTCCGTCCGCGGCTACGAGGGCTTTGGGTTCTCGCTGCCCGAAGTCAACCTGATGGAGCGTCAGCTGCTCTTCCTGCTGGACTGGGACATCCGTGTCGACGAGGCCGACCTCCTGCACCACCTGGAGCCGTTCCTCATGCCCATCCGTCGGCGTCTCCAGCTCCAGGAGCAGCGGCAGCGCGAGGCTCAGCTGCGTCAGCCCCGTGAATGGCGTCGCTTCCATGCCTCTGCCGACCTGTTTGCTGCTCGCCTTCACCGTCAGAAGGCCGAGGGTCGCCGTCTGCCTGGCGAGTCTCCCACACGGAGACGTCTGCCCCCCAGCCCAGCATCGTCAGCTTCCCTTTCTTCCGTCTCCTCAGGCAGCTCTTACTGCGCCTCTCCAGCGTCCGTGGCCGAGTCGGAGCGGTACCGCCCGTACCCACCCCGTCGACGTCCCTCGACCCGCAGCCATGCGTCCGTCTCTTCTCCGCCAGCTTTGCAGGATGTCCCAGGCCTATCACGTGCTGAAACGCTTCCCTCACTGAGCTCGCGTGCTTCCAGCATCGCACCCAGCTCACGGGGCGACACGCCCGCTAGTCTGCGCACCTCCAGCTCGATAGCCAGTATGAACGAGGTGCACGTGGTGGATGGCAGTCGCAGCCCATCGGCGAGCAACGGCTATGTCTCGATGGGCGGCACGAAAATGGAGGAGCTGTCGCAGCCGAATAAGAAAGCCCGACACTCCCTGAGTCACGCACATGGACCCGGACAAACCCACCCGGGGTTTGTAGCGCGGTTCCTGGCATCCGCGGCAGGGTCGTACATGGGAGGCCGTCGGCATTAGGGTTCATCGAGCTGGACTTGATGAGTTTCGGACGATTGTCTTCTAATACCTGCATTGCATTTTTGCTTTTCCATTTCCCCCTATCATCCCAAATTTTGGGATAGTTGATGAATTTCTTTTCTCTGTCTTACCGTGTGATGATAAAAGCAGTTGACCCAATACCCTCTACCCCTCTCTCTTCCCGTGATCTACAAGAGGATAGTACTTACACTCGTATCCCGTGATGGTGATTGAATATGCATTGCACAGCGGCGTTGATACTGGTCTCTTTGGATATTGATTTTTCTTCCATGTGTATTTTGCTTTTTGTTCATTCTTGACTTATTTTTTTTTGGATGCTTCCGCGTCGGTGAATCTTTATTTTTTCTACCCAATACTTCCGTCCCAGATTGCCCAACTGACCCCTTTGATGATGATATTATTACCTGGATCTGTATGTACAAGCACGGTAGATTTGCGCCCTACTTATGGTATAATAGCATAGTATTATTATTATTATTATTATTATCATCATCTGATTAATACATGAGTATTGACTATAAGGTATTGTGCTTGATCATCTGGACAGAAGGAAATGGTATCCGTGCGAGCAATGAGATGGCAGAGTGCAGGGCCGATAGTAGCCGTTGGAGGAGTAAGGGTGGCGAGAGGGGATGGTTGATTGACAGCGAGGAATGAGGAATGTACTTTTGTGCATGGTACGCGCGGAGAAGATAGGAATGTGGGAATACTTTCAACAATGCTTATCTGGGGTAGAGAGAGGGGGGATGGACTTACGTGGAATTGGAATGGATGATGCGTAATCGGATGGATGGAGAGTAGATAGGCAGACAATCTGTACTCTATACTGGCTTATGCATCTGCCTGTTGCAAGATGTTTCAGCCATCACCACGGATGTCTAGTAGTAACTGGTACTCCGTAGGAGTTATAGTTATGTATGCAAGTACGTACTTCATGCCACGGAGATCATAGTCCTCAGTATGCTGGTATACGTCAGACACAAACCAACCAACATTGTCGCATTACAGTATGTAGTTAGCAATTAGCAATTAATGGTATCACGAAATGATATGACAGCCAACCCCATTACCCTTTATGACAAGTAGAACCACCAACTAGTGGATGAATTATTGAGAGACAAGCAACACAACGGCAGAAACTATCGAATCTTGTCTTGAATTTATGGAAATGACAATTGCTTTTTTCTTTCTTTTTTCTGCTGATTATTTCCCCTTCCCGTTGCGGATGGATTGGGTGGTGGGGAGGAGGATTTCCTAGTTTAGTGTCTGGGCTCCACCCCACCCATCCTTCCCCCCCCCAGATACTTACTGGATTAGGACTAGTTGCCAGTGGTGGTGGATGGATGCCAAGGGGAAGGGAAGAGGGGATTACCAGTTCGTATGGTATTTATAGTATCGAATTCGCCAGAATTGCCTCGAAGTGTGTAATTGGGGAGTTATGTATGTATCAGATAGTTGGAGATGCCAATGCTGGGCAATTAACAAACCAATCCAACAAAGGAGAGAGTTTTGGGATGATAATGGATGGTGGAGGGTGTATCATCACTACTACTTACTGGACTAAAAGTACTACAAGGTATAGACGCACGAGCAAATTCCCCGAGTGGCTTCCTTTCCGATGATCACTTCTACCCTTCCATCAGGGATAGGAATTGATGGACCGGACTATCAATTACTTGTGGGTGTGTATACTTGGGATATCACCTTGAATTATTCTACAGTATTATCTTCCATTTTCAAAGGGAAAAATAAGATAATCGGTATTATCCAACGCCCCGCCGAGGCTGAGAGATTGTCGTCATCCGGTCCGCCCGCCCAGAAAAGTGAACCCGCCCGCTTGCGTCTTCGCGACTTTCTCTCTCTCTGTCCGTGTCTTTATCGCATGTACTCAGATACTAAATTAATATATTAACTCCCCCATCGTCTCCGCTGTTCCCGGACTGTCCCTTGCCCTGCTCGTTCTTCTCCACCTCTCCCCCATCCTCCATCCCATCCCTCCCTCCTCTACTCTCCTACTCTCCCCTCCCTCTTCCTCTCTTTCTTATCAACTGCTTATCATGCCACTCACCATCCTCTCTCAAACACAACTCCGCTCTCTCCTCCTGTCGCTCTCGCGCGACCAGATTATCGACCTCCAGCAGAACCTTTCCAATGCTCTGAGGGACTACTCCACCGGTAGCCAAGAAAAGGGCTGTGCGGCCGCCTACCAACCTACGCGCACGGCCATTACCCGTCAGAATGGTTGCACCACTCTGTTCATGCCCGCCAGCACGGGCAACACCCTGGGCATGAAGATGATCTCTTTACAAGATAACGGTCAGGCCGGCTGCTCCGTCGATCCTGCTTTAGACTTGTCCTCCACAGCCTCCCGGACGTCCTCCTCCAGCCGAGTCAACCAGCGCAAGTCCATGTCCTCCATCTCCTCTGAAGGCAGTGAACAATCCGTGTCCTCCCAAGAGGACGACGACCATACCTCCTCATCTCCCTCCTCCAGCAGCAAATCCCTGACCCCCGGCTGCGTGAACCAACAACCCATCGACACCGGTTTGTCCAACACCATGGGGGCCTGGCCCGCCGCCGGCTCCCGCGATACCTCCCCGCAAGGGACGGTGACACTGATCGACGAGACGAGCTTACCCTTTGGACTGATCAACGCCCACGAACTCACCCCCTTCCGCACTGCCCTGACCGCCACTATGACCCTCAACAAACGCAAGCGCGTGCGGACCGTGGTGGTATTCGGAGCGGGCAAGCAGGCATACTGGCACATTCGGCTGGCGCTGATCCTGCGTGGAGAGGGCATCAAACGAGTGTATATTATCAACCGATCCTTTGACCGTGCGGCCCAGCTGCTGCGTGATATCTACAGCCCCGAAAACGCCAGCTGGCGCGGCGATGTGAAATTCTCCGCCGTCAGCACGGACTTTGTCGAGTACGACCGCATCCTGCACGATGCGCTGCTCAAGGCAGATGCAATCTTCTGCTGCACGCCCTCGACGGAACCGCTATTCCCTGCACACATCCTCACGTCGCGCGACGGACGCCGAAAGGGCCGTCTGATCAGCGCGATTGGATCATACCGGCCGCATATGACGGAGCTGCCACCTGAGTTGCTGCGCGACGAGGTGACGGTGCACAGCTCGCATCGGCATTTCCACAAGCATGTGCGACGGAGTGGCGTGGTGGTTGTGGACAGCTTGGATGCGGCGCTGAAAGAAGCCGGCGAGATTGTGCAGGCGGGCATTCGGCCACATCAGGTGGTGGAATTGGGAGAGCTGCTGATTGTTCGGGATGCGTCGCGCGGGGAGGGCGACAACAGTGAGGATGGCAAGAGTCTTCGGGACTGGGTGGAGCGCGGCAATGTGATCTTCAAGAGCGTGGGGATGGGCTTGATGGATCTGGTGACGGGCGGCGATCTGGTGCGGCTGGCGCGGGAGAAGGGAGTGGGCACGACACTGGAGGAATTTTGATTGCTTTTCTTTCTTTTCATGTAGTAATTACTTGAAACTCACGATGCAGGCACCGGGAAGGAGGTAATTGCTGGACTATGATATCCATATTCAATTCAATCATTCATTCATCCTATCTTTATTCTATTCTATTGTTCACCATCTTTCTTGAATGCTCATAAAAATATCAAGTAAATTAGAAGTAAATCAGAGAAAATAGGGTAAGGAATGGACTCCCAGCCAATCAACTCTCCCAATTTCGACTATTTTGCTGACCGCCCGGAACATGACATCAACCATCGTCTCTCTTTTCTTTTCGTTGAGCTTCATTTCTTGTTCTGCTTCTGCTTCATCTGCCTCAGCTCACTGCAACTTCTGCATCTCTCGTGCTGCCGCGGGGATCCATTGGCACCCCAGGAACATGTGGCCACCCAGTCGGACAGCACCCGAACTGGGCTGATCTATTTCCTGCAGCGCCGGTGAAAGCAAAAGTGAGTTTCCTGCAGGCGCCGCGCGATCGTCAAAAACCCAGTGAGGGGCAACGGCGCATCATCCCACACAAGCTCATTCTTTGCCCCCCCCCACTGTGTAGATACTACCATTTACTAGTGACTATTTACTCTTTCTTCTTCCCTGCCTCTTGCTTTCTCTTCCTGCTTCCTCTTCTTCCCCTTTCCTGCTCCAAGTCAGGTTAAGTCAGCAACTATGCGCCATCACGTGTGCCATCTGCCCAACGGGCTGAGCTTCACAGTCTCCCCCGTCTTCGGTGGCTTCACCTTCAAATCCAACGATGTCAACTCCAGCCAGTCCATCGTGCCTCCTGGCTGGAGTATTGTGCTTGCCACCAACCGTCCGGACCCCGACACCACAGACACCAACGATGAAGAGCGTGGTCGAACTCGCGGGACTGGCGATGATGAGCAACGTGCCCGCCTAACTCGTTTCACCACCCCCACCCTGCGCGATGACTCCCTCTACATCTCCTACATTGTCGACCCACCCAGCAGTGACTACAAGCCGGTCAGCTCCCCCACTCGCCAGATCGCCATGATGCTCTGGGTCACGCTGTGGTGGTACTTCCACGAACCCCAGCCCGACCGTCGTCTGCAGACTGACGCCTCCGCCAATACCCCGCCTTCTGGCCAGCCCAGAGGCGACTGGCGCGTTAACATCAAGCGCGAAGGCTTCTTCAAGGGTCGCACGCTGCTCCAGAAGCTCGAGCGCATGGGCCTCATTGCCTCCGAGGACTCGTCCGTCGGCGCCGAGCCCTATGACCCGCAATCCTGGGCCAACATGTTCGTCAGCCGTCGCAGCTTCTGGCAGATCGACCCCCGGCTGTTCGTCTTCACCATGAGCCCGCAGACCATCCCCCAGTCGGTGTCCGGCTCTCCTTTTGTCCAGCGCGTGGCCTCGCCGTCGCGCGAGAGCTTCAACCTCGCTCACACAGCCGGCCAAGAGGTCGCACATTACGTTCCCAACGAAGGTCCCTTTGCCTCTACCAGCCATCTGCCCACATACTTCCCTCCACCTCCTACCCAATACACTTTCACCAACGGCATCCGACACCCCATCCGCCCTAAACCCCCGCACCAAGGCGACGTCTTCTACATCCGTTACATCCCCAGCGTGCAACAATACCTCTCCTTCCGCATCCCCTACATCCCCCCATCTCACAAAAATCCCGCCCCACGCCCCAATAACCCCACACCCAGCCACTCCGCAAGCCACTCCACCAGCAGTCTCGACCAGCCCTTAACCGCAGGGCCGTCGGACCTCGACCTGCTGCACAAATGGATGAACGACCCACGCGTCAACGCCTCCTGGGGCGAAGCCGGCCCCATCGAACATCAGGAGAAATTCCTGCGCACCAATCTCAGTAGCAAGCACAGTTTCCCCGTTATCGGCTGCTGGGACGGCAAGCCATTTGGCTACTTCGAGCTGTACTGGGTGAAGGAAGACCGGCTGGGGCCGTTAATTGGCGGAGCCGACAATTACGATCGAGGCATTCACCTGTTGATCGGCGAGCAGGAGTACCGTGGTCCTCACCGCGTGCAGATTTGGTTGAGTGCGCTGGTGCATTATTGCTTTTTGGCGGATTCGAGAACCCAGACGGTTATGTTGGAGCCGAGGGTGGATAATTTCAAGTATGTCCCCACTATTACTACCATCACTCAACGAAAAAAGGTATAGGTACAGATACTAATGGGGTGAATAGATTGATTACGTACCTCCAAGAAGCAGGCTTCTACAAGGAAGGCGAGGTTTCGTTTCCGCATAAACAGTCGGCTTTGATGAAGATTAAGCGGGATACGTGGGAGTGTCCTGCTATTTAGTTTCCGATTATTCAAGAGGTGTTAGTTAAAGACTGGTGGTTACGACAAACGTAAGACATCTCAGCAGAATCAGGATGGATGTATCATCAATACTAATCAGCCGGCAGGAACTGTGTGGGCTACACAAAGTGAAAAACCAGTTAAGAATAAGACGCTCTATAAGTAGTGAAAAAAAAGAAAGCCAAGACGGAGTGCAGAGCGGGTGTTGTATAGACGAATACTTGTACTACCTTTTCTAGAAGCAACTCTTCTCTTTTTCTTTTTCCAATGGTGTTTGGCATTTGCATCTAATTAGGGTTATGGTTATGGTATGGTTATGGATATGGTTGCGATGCGGATCATCTACCTCTACTCAAACTTACTACTGTGGTGGATTTCTGCAGAAATCGAATGATTCTCTCTTATGTACTGTAGAAGCCTATAACAGATAAAACATTTTGAAATCTTGAGCTGAGTTAATTGAGAGTTGCTAGCATATGGGCAGTGAGTCAAGTGTTTGAAAAGGTGGATGGATTTCATTTCTTTATATTACTGTCCCATCAACGAAATGAATGAATGGTGTCGATCCCAAGCCTACCGGTGATTGGCCACTTTGAGTTCAAAGATCGACTGTACAGTATAGTATACTAGGAGTAAAAAGTAGTATATTGTCCAGAGTCGTCGAGCGGCCACCATGACTTCTGCAATGCTGTGTTATAACTACTAGAACACGTATATGAAATTTGATGGGAACATGAGGCAGGGTATTTGTAATAACTGCCTGGGCTAATGTAACTAACTAATTTAACGGGCGAGCCGGCCAACTTTCTATCCTCTTCCCATTATGCAGGCAATTTGACCATTCAACTAATTATAACATGACCATTCAACATAAATCGAATAAATACTCGTATATTCATAAACCAAGCATAACCACATAGCACATAGCCAGACAAGCAGTATAATTCCCGGAACATCATCACCATATACCCCACTCACCCTAGTCATAAGAGAAAAGAATCACAGGAAGAACCCAATCAGAGAAAAAAATGAATAGAAGAAGCTAAAACCCCCACATATCCCCGTCATCCCTGACCAAATCATCCTCGTTCAAAACTTTCAACCCGCTCTCCTTCTCCGCCCTTCGTCTTTGCCTCTTCGTAATCATCGAGCTTGGCGTCAACGGCGTCACCGGCGTGAATGGCATGTACGGACTGTATGGCGTCGGCATGCCCGTCCTGGGCCCATTCAGCTGTTTCATCGGCCTCTCCAGCACCGTGAGTTTCGTGGCTGGCGCGCTCTGAAGTGGGTAGGCGTCACGGAAGGGTAGCGATGATGATGGACTGCGGCCGTGGTGGGTTGTGTTGCTCCCCGTGGGAGTGGTTAGGGTTAGGGGAGGAGGGACGGGCCCGCGGGGGGATCTTTCTTTGGCGCGGGGTGGCTCGAGACGGGGAGTCGGGAGGGGAGGAGGTTGGGTGTTGATTTGGGGAAGGAATGGTTGTTGCTGCTTTTGTGCAGTCATTGCAGGTGTTGCTACTGGGAGAGGAGGTGCAGGAGGTCGGGGTGGAGGATTGTAGTGTCTTGGGGTTAAGGGGGGTTGATCGGCCTGGTAGGATGGGGAGGCGACAGGGGAGGAGATCGAGAGTTTGCGGAGAGGGAAGGGTCGTGGAGAACGCAGTTTGCTGCTGTTGCTGCTTGATGATTGCTGCTGGTTCTGCGACTTGAGGTTGAACAGCGAAAGGGAGGAGATGCGGGATAGCCGGCCGCTGGACCGCGGGCTCAGTGGGGAGTTGTTGGAGGAGACATGAGAGGAGCGATCTGTGAATGGGTTCGTGGGGATGCTGTCTGGAGAGGGAATCTCTTTCTCTGCTGCTGCTTCTGCTACAGCTTCGTCTCCATCGGAGGAGTCCTGGTTGGCACCCCGAGCTGCGGCGGCAGCTTCTTTCTGTGCGTCATGCTCCATCACGGCGGCATAGAGCATCTCCAAGTCTTCCTGAGCGCGCTGGCGGTCAGTTGCTACGACAGATTCGTCGATCGTGGCGACGCTGGTGGTGGTCCCTGAGGCGTGGGAGCGAGAGCCCTTGCCGAGGCTACTCCAGGACCGGCTGAAGCTTCGAGGGCCCGGGCTGGGCAGGTTGACAGAGATCGGGGTGACGGGACTGGGGTCCATGCTGGGAGGTGGCTTCACAGGCTTCATCATCTCGACGTGAAGGGAGTAGTTGGAGGCGAGGACGGCTCGTCGCAGACGGCGGCCCACGAAGAGGAGCAGCGAAAGAAGTACAGCAACGAAGATCACGTATGCACCGACGATGCCTCCGATCTGGATGGCCAGGAGCGACTCGTCCACGGCTGGAGTGATGGGATAGCTGTTTCGACGGACAGGATTCAACTGCTCCTTGGATACTGAGCCAGCAGTAATGAGGCGGGGAAGGAGCGCAAAGAATAGCAGATAGGGCATTATTTGAGGCCGGGATGAAGCTTTGTGACTGCAGACAAGGTGACGATTAAGTAGCACCTGCAGACATATCGAATCTGGTCTGGAGGCTGCAAATCCTTGCGCAATGGAAGAGACATGATGGAGGAAAAGAGGGGAGGAGCGGTATATTGAGAGGCCTGGGGGAGTTGATGTGATGGTGTGAAGAGGTGATCTGCTGCGACGGCCGTCCCTCGTCGGTCGTTGGTCAATTTACGCGCCGGCCCTGCATGCACGGCACACCCCATCACATCGGGCGGTTGACTACTGGCAGTTTATGCTCGAATCAATCCCCGCTAATTTAGCGCTTTGTGACAGACGGTAGCGGCAT